AGTCTTCTCTATGTCGACTCAAAAAATGAAAATAAACTTTTTTGTCACCTAATACCCAATATCGTTACTACACACACAGTCGAAGAGCTCACATGTAAATTTTTGTCCCGATTACTGACTATGAAGACGTCATAACCGACTCCAAACGGGACCAAAATTTATTTGTTATATCTTCGACTATGGTAGTATCGATTATGCGTATTAGATAAAAAACAAATTAATTTTAATTTTTTGAGTCTTCATCGGTACTTTGCCCTCTGCGCGACACGCCTTAACCGTCTCCAATCGGGACCAAAATTTATATGTGATAAGTATCTGTGACCGCGGTATTATCGATTGAGGGGGTGAGACTGACAAAAATCGTTCATTTGATTTTTTTAAGACCACCCTAATATATACTATGCCTCTATGCTTTAGTAATCCACTTTGATAGGTAATACTTATGTATATATATATATAGATACTAGGAAGGTATGTGTGCGAACATGTATCTATGTATGTACGTAGAATTAACTATTATATTCACATTAAGCCATAACGTAATCGGCGCAAGTCGTTGTGGCTTTGCTATGTGGTTGGTTCCTGTTGCTCTATTCATTGGTCGCTGTTGTGGTTTCGCAAGCACCTCTAACTCGAGTTTACCATAGTTTGTGGAGCAATTGCTAATTTAATTTAAACTTCATAGGCACATGATATTGCGTACTTCCATATGTATTTATGTAGAGATGTATGTACATTGTACAAACATATGTACGCTTAGGTCTCTTTTTATGCGGATTTTATATATGCGGATTTGAATTTATGCGGTTTTTCAAACCTTTTTTTTGCTGTAGCGATTTTGCTTTTTTGAGAGTTCTTATTACTTTTTTCAGTGAGTCTTCGTTGTATCGCTTCGGATAAACAATTTGTCTTTGTATTTTTATATAATTCATGTATTTGTTGTGGTACTTTTTTTTCTAAATCTGCTTTCTCTTTTGTCTTTTTGTCTCCTAATTTCATAACACCGTGACACAAAAAAAAAGGAAATTTGAAACACACGAAGCAATCAATAAACTCACCATACAGTGAGCAAAATATAGGAAAACTGCGTTTAGAGTTTTTCTCTCTGACGACAGGATTTTTCAAACAGATTTTGTAGTTTCAAAGATATTTTCACTTCCAAAAATTATTAAAAAATTCAGTGCTATGTAGAAAAGCAATATATTCTAAATAAAATTCCGTAGAATTAAA